GATTAAGCCATGTCTGTCTGTCCGTCCGTCTGTCCGTCTGTCCGTCCGTCCGTGTACACGATAACTCGAGCAAAAATTGAGGTATCTCAACGCAATTTGGTATGTAGGTTTCCCTTAATCCAAGGTAGGTTGGTATTGAAAACGGGCGAAATCGGACTTTACCCACGCCCACTTCCCATATAACGGTAATTTCCAGAAATACGAAAACTGCGATATTTTAGTAACTACTGAAGATAATTCACTCAAAATTGATATTTACAATAAGTTTTAGACGAAAAATAAGAATATTATAAATTTTTGGAAAATGGGCGTAGCCACGCCCACTTATGGTTACATGTGTATACCTTGGTAACCGCTGCACCAATTTCTTCCAAGCTTGGCACAGTTGTTGGCCTTCGCATAACATACCAAATGGCCGAAAATTTTTAAAATCGCTCAATAACCACGCCTACTTCCCATATAACGGTAATTTTCAGAAATACGAAAACTGCGATATTTTAGTAACTACTGGAGATTATTCACTCAAAATTGATATTTATAATAAGTTTTAGACGAAAAATAAGAATATTATAAATTTTTGGAAAATGGGCGTAGCCACGCCCACTTATGATTACATGTGTATATTTTGGTAACCGCTGCACCAATTTCTTCCAAACTTGGCACAGTTGGTGGCCTTGATACAGCATAAAAAATCGCCGAAAACTTTTAAAAGCGGACAATAACCACGCCCACATCCCATATAACGCTAATTTAGAGAAATACAAAATCTTCGATAAATCAGTAAATATTGAAGCTAATTTATTCAAAATTGATGCTTGCAACAATTCTTTACCAAGAAATACGTTTATGGTAAAATTTTGGAAAATGGGCGAGGTACCGCCCACTTATGATCACATATAAGTATATCGGTAACCGTTCTACCAATTTGTACCAAACTCGGTATGGTTATTGTACTTGCCACGTGTAAGCAAAACGTTGAAAATTATTGAAATCGGACTAAAATAACGGCCGATTCTCATATAACGGTAAATTTAAGAAATGCTTGAAACTTCAATATTTCGAAATCGAAGGACGCTAATTTACTCAAAATTGATACACCCCGGCTTACCATCGAGCGGAAGGTTTAGGAAGGGTGAAAAAACATATATTTAATACTTGCGCCGGGTATTTAATGTTCGGCTCCGCCCGAACTTAGACTTTCTTACTTGTTTATTTTGTGTTTCTAGCAGTAGACGCAATTTTGCAACGTTCCGAATAAATAAAAAAAAGGCTGTTAAAAAATGCGTATAATTTTCGTCACGAAATTGATATGATAAATTTTGTGTTTCTAGTTCAGCTTTCGTCACTCGAAAATTTTACCTCAAGGAGGTGTTTTATTTGATATCAATTATGTTGGCGTAGAAAATTTAAAATCGACCAAAATACAAACAATAATCTAAATATTTTATTTTTCTCAACTAAATTGCTAAAAATATTATCTAAATCTAAATTATGTATTCAAAACGATGTGTCCATTGAAACATATAATTTTTCGTATATGGAATACGAAAAATTACGAAAAAATTTAAATTAAAAGAAAATTATGAGAAATGATAAAAACTTATCAACTTGGTACCAACTTTGGATACAATAAACAATTGTATTCGTAGTTTATTTTCGTTAAGATTTCTACCGGGTGTGTGGCGCACACATGTGCTTTTTTTAAGAAGTTTTACTTCTATCACGTGTACGTGCTATTGAACTAATGCTTTTTTCTCAAGTAGTTTTGCTCAGTGCACGGTTAAAAGTTTCGGTTTTAATTTTAAACTTTTTGTACTACATACATATATGGCCAAACTAAATTCAGTTTCAAATACAAACCTTCCAAGACCAAAAAAAGAGAGCACCTATGTTGGGTTTAGAATTTAAACAGTTCGGTTTAAATTTTAAACCCAAATATTTTCATAATTAAGAATAAAAAAGATCTTAAATTTCATGCTCCGTCTGATGGGGACTGAACCCGGACAGCCTTGGTAGCAACCAATTTTATCAAGCATCTTTGCACACTCAGCTACAGGCACGCATGTAAATGTGCTTTCATATGTTAAGTTTGAATCAACACCACATTTCGCTGTGTGCAAACATTTTCTATTTCAGTTTAGATTTCAAACCAAATTTTCTATATATGAAAACCAGAAACTAGAATTAAAATATTGAGTTTTAAACCACGAACTTTTTCGACTAAAATTTAAACCAGAACATATTAAAAATTGTTTAAAACTATTGACTGGTTATAAAAGGGGTATTCCATGACAAAGTGAGACATATGGTCCAGTTACAAATTACTTATAAAACAGGTCCGTCTTGATTAATCATTAGTTAATACCCCAAATTACCACAATTAAAAAAAAAAAATCTGGCAGTACTATTTAATTTCAATTTAGGCTAATTTAAAACTTGAGCAGTAAAAAACTTTACAACCACGAAAATATTGTTTGATACAGAAAGCGTTGCAAAATCAATTGTCTGTAAAAGTAAAACGTGTTTGAAGTGTTGACTAAATTCCTCGTGTTTCCAGCTTTTAAAGAAAGTAAAACTCCTTTTAAAAAAGGTAAGCCTTTTAGTTATACTACAGTTTAAACTAAACAAGATTCTCCTCGTCCAACCCGTGACAATTAGGTAAAATTTTCGCTTTTCTTAGCTTTTGGATTTGGGATATGGCTGTAACTTTTTAACTAGTTTGTAATTCCGCTATAAATCCTTATTTAATTTGTTCTGTTCCATTCCACGGGATTGTCTTAAAATTATTAGAAGTTTTATCGTATCCCCCCGTGACAGTCACGGGTTGGACATTCATCATTGGTGATTAATGGTATATTCAAATGAAGAAATTGGTAAATTTTTATTCTCTCCAAATGATTTACGAGAACTTTTTAGTATTCGGCGTGGATGTTTTGTAGTTTTTGCGATTCTTAGAGATTTGCCAAAAACCATTTTAAAAATTCTGGGGTTAATTTTTCTTTCCAGAACCATGGCTAAAACGACATCTGCTGAGCGAATGCGAAAATTTAGACAAGAGTTAAAGAGCAAACTCGAAGAGTTAAGAAGGCACCTTCAGAAAGAACGAATGCGTGACAAGAAAAGACGTGAATTGCGAAAAGAAAAAGAAACACGTTGTAAACGATTATTAAATGAAAGGCGATGCAAGGAAGCTCAGAAAAAAAGGAACTATAGAGCAAGAACAAAAACTCTTACACAAGCATTGGATGATGAACTTTCATCACCGTCGCCATCATTAGGGTCATACAATTGTGCGCAGACGCTAGGCAAAGCAGTATGTAAAGTAAAACGAATCCTACCGTCTAGTCCAAGCAAGAAATTTGCCGTTATACGCAAACTATTTTTGTAAAATTTAGGGAATGATGTTCATTTAGTTTCCCCAACCAACAAGAACTGTGATATGAAAAATGCCTTATCTGAAAAGGATAAAGAAAATGTAGTCAGCTTTTATCTGCGTGATGATATCAGTCGCCAGTCACCGGGTGTTAAGGACGTTAGATCTATTAAAAATAAAGAAACGGGAGAAAAGACTTTATGCCAAAAGCGATATATGAATTTCACTGTAAGAGAAGCCTATTCTCTCTTCACTAGCGATAATCCTGAAATGAATATACGAATTTCAAAATTTTATGAGCTTCGCCCCTCCTACGTCTTATTAACTAGCCAAATGCCCCATAATGTCTGTGTATGCCAGTACCACGCCAATTTTAACTACTTAGTTGAAAGTATAGCCGCCAAATTACCGGGGTTCCCTAAAACAGGTGGCGATCTTCTAAACGAAATTTCTTGTGACGTCAATAGCGAACAATGTATGCTTGGAAATTGTGCTGAATGTGTCAGTGATCTGAAAACTCTATTGCCTGATAACGAAACCTTGTACCAATCTTGTAGGTGGAAGCACTGGTCTGATGTAGAAGGGAGACCCAATGTAATTACAATTGCGGGTACCATTGGAGAAGCTATGGAAAAATTTCAGCAGAAACTTTAACGATATAAGACCCATGTATACGTAAAGAGAGTACAATATAATGCCTTTTTAGAAGCGAAGCGTAGTATACCAGCTGATGTAGCAATTTTGCAAATTGATTTTGCTGAGAACTACACCATACTCTCGCAAGATGA